AGACTCTTATTATATTCTTGTAATTATCTTAACAATCTAACTATTTCTTTATTAACCTGCACTGCTAATTGTCTAAAAAAAATGACAAATTGAATAGTATTGAAAAGTAAAAAAATCAGTTTTTTTTAATTTTGCCACAGATACCAAGGCAATCAAATACCAATTGTATTTAAATTAAATTCAGTATAAAAGTCCATTATTGACGAGTTAGAAACTAGAAGCAAAGGCAATATAATCGCAATGCAGTCATTCATTGCGACATTACACCCGACACTGGTTCATGCAGTATAATTTAATAGGGTAATTTGACTGTTGTATTACGTTTGAAGCACGATCTCCCTATTGCAATGCTACCAAATAAAACATTTAAAACATAAACTCAAACCTTCTATTATTCGTTTATATGGTTACAGAACTCAACTGGCAATTTTTATTAATCATCAAAATGAAATAAAATTAAGCTTATAGAATTTATGGATATAAAAACATAATGCATAAAATTCAATATAATCATATGAATTTAATACGCAAAAATGTGTTGTATCTATTTAAAAGTTAACGATTAAGAATTGGTCTCGAACCTTTTTGCTACGGATGTCATCCCTGGACGACATTCGCCTGACGTGCTGTGTGTTCAAATGTCGTCCCTAGACGACACGTTATGTATGCCTTTGCTTCCAACTTTATCATTGTAAGTTGAAGTATTGAGAATTCTAGTCTTGTAAGTTCTAGTTCATTAGAAGCGTAATTTTAAAATTGTTAACACATTTGTATTGATAATCATAAAAATTCATGGCTACAGCACCTTTTCACATAATTATTGATATTCATTACATATTTGGTCCATAAAAATTCGGTGAAATATGATACTAACACTTTTCGGCCACTTTTATTAGGACTATCCCCACAAATTATTGAAGCGCATTACTTTAAAACATACGATAAACCAGATTCGAAGCTCACAATTAGTGAGTGCGGATTTTTGTTCAAAAATCCTAGTCAATATTTTCATGGTACTAAGTACCTTTATGAGTAATGATTGTATCATGTTGATCAATGACCTTACACATCATCTTCCAAGCAGCATCATATTCCCACATTCACAAATCTCCTTTTTTTTTTGTCAATCAAAACTTTATTCAAGTCAAATCTCCTGAATTTTAATAGCAACTAGCTGAATCAGATACAATTTGACACCATCGTGATTATTGACAAGATCGACTAATCATCATCAAAAATCAGAAAATCGCCCCAATTCATTCGTTGCTCCGCTGTTCCATACATCAGAATCAAGAAGACTAAATATAATATGACCAATTAACTTGATCCAGTAAAATTGAATTTAAATAGTACATACCCACTGGAATAACTACTATCTATACCTCATTGATGCCAATCAAATAACTCATAGATTATATCTTATGTTCTAATAATTTTAACCGTTTAAAGACTTTTCTAGAGATAGAAACTAGTAGATTTGATGGTGCAGGGTCACTGTATGGTAAAGAATTCGTATTGTTTCTCCGATATTCACATTATCATGAAGAAAACAATAAATTTGAATAGTTTGCTCTAAAATTAAGCAATACAAATACGGTAAAAAAAGAAATTTAGAAAAATCTAACGTTTATTTATTTTTACAAAATACGAGTATTTTCTTTTTATTAATTTTAGTGGTTAATAAAAAAACGGTGATAATAACTCATATGTCCTATAATTTGAAAAAAAAATTGATTTTTAACTTCCCGAAGGAGAAGTTTATGTTCTCAAAAAAATCGGATTCACTAATTTTATGTTTTCTCAACGTTTCAAGCCATTCTGAACCGAGTGTGAAGTTTGGAAAAAGTATGTGTGTAAACAGATTTTTTTTTAAAATCTGAAGTTTTCTCAAAAATGGCTGGACCGATTTCAAAAATTTAAAAGCCATTCGATGTATCTCGATGAGGACTATCGTTTGTTCGACGATCTGCCAAGCCGTTTCTTTGTAATTTAAAAAAATGTGTTAAACTTTTCATCCACATTTAAGCTCATACTTCGAATCAATTTTAAAAAATCAAAAATTGTAAGATATTAGTTGGAAATAATACCGATTAGTTTTAGGTGAATCTACCGAGCCGTTTTCTCGTAACAAAAAAATTTAACCCGATTTTCATGTAACTGTTTTTGGCAATATATATCATGGTCTTATAGAACTTACTGAAATATTACGGCCTTACGACAAGTAGTTTAATTTTAAAAATTCAACAAAGTTTGAGAAAATGAGTATTTTTTTGACGTTTGTTAAAATTAAAATTAGAGGGCTTGGTCTTAATGAACATACAAAACCATTAAAGTCCTACGAAAACTGGTTCAATTATAAAAATTATTGATTTTTGAAAATTTGCTTTTAAAAAATACTCCGAGTTAACGTGTTTGTTAGTTTACAATTCGGGTTCATGAAACTTGCCTCAAGGCAAAATACCAGTACCAACTAGTTTTACACACGTTTTTAATTAAATCAACCACTTTCAAATATACTCAAAACAATTGTTGCACAATTATATTTATTTATTAATAATTTGATAATTATCCATGAGGAAATGTAAAATTCCTGAATCGTTTTATGAAATAGGATTATTATGGTAAATCGCATGACGTGGGTTCTTATGTACAATTACAATGTAAAAACGCTAATTTGTATTCTACGGGGTCCTCGGTGGTTTAGCAAATTTTATTCTGTTTATATCTAATACAATATCACGGGCCGGTTGAGAGTCAGTCGTCCGCGCCTAAGATCCGTCAGACGCCCGACCGAGACGCCCAAGACGCCCTAGACGCCCTTCGCTAACATTCACAGCGTCTAATATCAATTCCGAACGTAATTTCGGCACGCAAAGAAACACAGAAGTCAAAAACGTGACGATTTTTCTAAAGCGAAAACAGTGAAAAGCGCGCAGCTTGTTTTGTCAGTATCAGAACGAACCGAGGGAAAAAGGAAAAGCGTTTGGAAAAAAGGCAAACATGACGGCGTGCGAACAGAACTCCACTCGAAGAAAGACCCTTCAGTACAGTGGAATACTCGAGATTTACGACACTCCTTTGAGAATGGGATAGGAGTATGCTTCGCCACTTACACATATTATTCAACGAAAACTGCGGCCTGATAGATCGAGAATTTTACGACAAGGAGCACTAAAACCGTTGATTTCTTTTCAATAAAATCCGATACTGATTTCTCGAGCACGATCTGATCTTGTTCGAGTAAAAATACGTAAGTTGCTGACATGCATAGTTAATAACATACATACACAAAGGAAAAAATGCATGTAATCTTTCGTGCAGTAAATTGTGAGTCATTATAGTGTCAAATTAGACGGCTTGAACGCCAAAGCCGTTGCAGTACATTTATGTGAACGAAATGTTTTACTTTTTTATAAACTTTTAATAGTTTAGAAAGGAAAGTGTGAAAATTATTCAAAATTATTTCATAAAATTATGAATATTTCATGATTTTGTATTTTATGTAAATGTGTATAGATTAGTAAATGATTCTAATTAATTAATTTTTATTTGCAGACAGTGAAATAATTTTTATTCCTTTTTTGCATTAGTAACATATCAATTGTTTGCTAGGTGTTAGGCACGTAAAACGAATAAAATTATTATTTTATGTCTCAAAATAGCCATTTACCTTATTAATTAAAATTTTGTCATTCCTTCGATATGGAACAAATACTGTTAGCATTTAAAATCAATCAGAATAATTCAAAATGTCCTGAAGCATTAAAATAGTCGTCTCAGAAATTAAATTATTAGTTATAATCATGCCAAAGCTAATTTTTTGTGATTATTAACTAGAAAATGAAATCAATTTCAATTTTTTTCTATGAAATAGTTCATAACATTTTTGCAAAAATCACAACTAACCAAATCTAATTTATTCTAATTGCCAATTCAGAGTATTTGGTAGAGTATCTACGATTACAAGCCTCATACCAAAACTATTTTGATTTGATATCAATAAAAGCCTCCGTCCGACTCAAAGAAAAGGTTGATCTTATTTTAACTGCTATTTTCTTATCGATCAAATAATAATATCGTAGGAGTTATCTTATTTGCCGACTTGGAGTATTGTTTTCTTTCAGCAAAGAATGCGCTTTTTTCCGTTAGCCAAAAGCTCTTTGTTTTGTGAGCTTAGCGGTTCGCTTCTGCAAACACAAAACATTATGAAATGTGGTATTGTTGAAATATTACGACCACTATTAACTCCATATGAAATGCTATAAATTTTGATATCAGCTTCCTGAATCTATATAATATGATTCTGGTTTGTGGGAAATCGAATTTAATAGAAACATAAAATGTTTATCAAATGTGGCAGTATATTAATATTTGAAAAATAGAGCTAAACATGTTGCAAATTCTTATAGTACGGGTTTCATACCGTTAAGTCTTAGTATAGTTTACATGGAAATTTGAAAAATACATCATTCACATTTTTTGTGGTGATTAGACTAACATGATTTGCAGTTATACTTTGCATACATAATTTCCCAGAACGTAGTATAGAAAAACAATCAACTTAAACCATGAAGAAATGTTGTATTTGGTACAATATAGGCATTAAATCAATAAGCGATTAAGTATGATATTTCTAAGTAAATATTATATAAGCATATTATGAGTACAGAATATATATGTCTCGTGCAGACGGGGTCGCGTGTTTAGCCTCCGCTCTGGCAACCTAATATCGTGCAGCAGCGATATCTATTTTGACTTGAAAATGTAGATTTTTCCAATAGAAAATAGTCTATTTCGGACACTACGGTACAAAATGGAATTGGAAATCTCTCAATATTCTTCCCCAAATCGAGCTGCAGTTTAACCTAGATCACGTGCCTGCCCTAAGGCAGTAATACCCATTATATATATATATATATATATATATATATATATATATATATATATATATATATATATATATATATAGAAATGTTTCCTTACAGTGAATTTCTTTTCAGGAAACAATAAGTCAGTATCATGGATTCGACGCAGAGACGCCCATATCCTGACTGTGGACAGGTACACATTCATAGCTGACGAAAGGTTTCAATCGTTTCTGATTGAAACAACTGGAACATGGACTTTACAAGTAAGTTATCATTATTATCTATAATATTAATATTATCTTTCGCAAATAAATAGTAATTGCCAAATATTAAATTTTGTGAATAAGTAACTCTGAAAATAATTAGAATATTAAGTTTGACAATTAGATTTAAGTAAAAAGATTTGAATATACAGCCACATCTTAAATGCAGTTAGCAATCATCCTAAAGCATAAAGCTAAAATTATTTAGAATCAATCAATCAATCAATCAATCAATAATATGGTTTTTATTGATTTAAAATATTTCCCTTGTTTTCTACATTTTATTATGTTTTCATTATTGTGTAGATACACATATAAAAAATGACTGAAATGTAAATTCATAGATATCTTCTGCTAGTATTGACTCTACTTTTTTTTAGGCATCAATTTGAGCAATCTCAGTTATGATTGCAAAAATGAAAGTATAAATTAAAGACAGCAATAGGATCATTTGCGAACTAAGAACTCGTATCAGAATAAATACTTTTATTATAATCTATCATAAGCATTCTAAATATATATTGAATATAATTCTTATAGAACATATTAACTAATTTAAAAGAAGAACAAAACTGCCTTTTTAAATTGTAATTATAAATAAAATAAATAATAAACCAATACATTATTAAAATCAACCCCTTTAATTTATTTGTTTATTAACCTCGCCATAAAAATAATTCAAAATTGCTTTTATTAATCAGAATAAATTCAATTATAAAAAGTATACTTTAACATACTAAGTATCAAGAAACTCGCAAAATGCTTAAAGAGTAAATTTTTAACTGTGACACTAAATGTTATATATTTAGATTGCTCTCGGAACGGGTAAATTAGAATAATTAGATTTGCAATTATTTTGAATGGTGATCGATATAACTACATGTTGTTTAATATTATATATAAAACAATCCACTAATGATCAAAAATTTTGGCTCGTAATAATATTCATTCTAGTAGTGTAAACCATATTTAATACAAACCATATTTTTTCGACCGCTACAGAATCATTAATTTCACGACCAAGAGTTCAAAATAAAGTCTCAAGGTATTTTAAATCATGTATTAACGATAAAACAACTCATTCGATTTAGATACATTCATAATTTATTTGATAAATTCAACTAAAATTATTCCAAAGTAAATAAAAATGATTCTAACAATCTATTACAATTTCCCTAATTGTATGATATACGAGAGGTATAAGGCAATGGGAATAAAAATTGGGATCATGAATTATACCAATGGAGTCGTTGTGAAGTTAATGATTTGTATATATAGATGATATTTATCATCTTGAGCGCTTAATATACGATTATTGATTCGGATAATTCAAATTTATTGCCGAAGTATTCAAAATTAATATCACATTCGAACGCATAATAAATGTTGGAATGGATATGCGTGAGAATAAGTACTAATAATATTTTATTCTGATATAAAAAAATCTTATTAAGCAGATAATTGAAGGAATGATTCAAAAAATTAGTCTATATTTGGTTCTTAGTCAACATCAATTTATAAGCCTGATAGATATTAGCTAATTATTTAAAAAGATATAGTGCTTGTGTATGTTCAAAAACTATTTAATGCAATTCAGTTTCTTTGTAAATATTAGTTTTTCATTAAATATTTGAGGAATTTATTCTCCCTCGTTTTAAAAGTTGTTCGAAAGATAGGAGTGGAGAAATTTATTTGTTTTGCGTGAAGATTGGTTTTTACCACTTAATAATTATAATCTATATATATATATATATATATATATATATATATATATATATATATATATATATATATATATATATATATATATATATATATATATATATATATATATGTGTGTGTGTGTGTATGTGTATTACAAAATTGGACAAAATTTACCCAAAATATTGAATTATACTAAGTCGAAACTCTCCAACATTAAAATATACTTATTCAAATGTTTGTAACTTAAATATGATATATTCAATTCATACCATATTTGAAAATCCTTTTTTTTTTAATTTTTTCGCATTCCTCTATTTTATCATGATAAAGGTGTATAATTTAAGAGTGTTCTAAAATAACTTATATGCATTTTAAACAATATGTAATACCAAAAATAAAACGTGAAAAAGAATAAATGTAAAACTTGTCGGACATACAGGACTGATTTTATGACACTAAAAATCATAATCATCTGATTATAAAAGCATTTTAATATGCTTCAAAACTTTTAACAAACTAAATATTTTGATTTAATTCATTAATTAAAATTTTACATTGCCTAACTCTGCTACTACACTCTTTGCATTGGAGTAACTTGATAAAAATTTATTCTTCTGAAACATATTTTTTTGTAATACTTACATTGAATTATTACTAAATCATATATTTTCTATATATGAACGACCTATTAATTTTCTAAACATGTTTTAGTAACGTAACATCTATATACCATATATAGTCATAGTTATTCAACGAAAAATCATTATTAAGAATTAGGTGAAAATATTATTTTTCCATCATAAGTATTTAATAAGTACAGCTAACTTTCACAAAATTATTTTTAAAAGTCTTGCATAAAATATGGACCTTTCAAGTTAGAAGCTTTATTTTAGAACGAAGCGCATTCCGTTTAAAATTTAATGGATGCTTTTATCAAATTTTATCACTTTTATAAAAATATATGCTTTTATCAATTTTACAAATATATAATTACACCATAATGTTAAATATTACAGTATAATTTTTTCATATTTTTAAATTCACGATTATCGTATTGTCAAATGACACGCACTTACTTATAAACTTAAAAAGAAGCACGGAATGCAAATCTCTTATATAAATAAAAAATAAAAATATATTAAAATTTTATAAAAAATAATTTTCACAAATATTCTTAACCGAAACGAGTCTCCAAATTTTGACTCGTCTAGTAATTATCTAGATGGTTTTTTACTAGATTCTTTTTTTATATGTTTTTTTAATTTGAATGAAATAAGTACTTAAACACCTTTTTTAAAAAAATCATTGGTTACTTTTAAGTTTTAAAGAGCACATCGATTTAAGAATAAAATCTGGACCCATTCTAAAAGTTTCGTTGTATAATGAGTTGTAGAAACTTGTAAATGTCTAGATAAAAAAAATCACAAAATGTTTTATATTCAGTGCAACCAATAAAGATTTATCATATCATTAGTTGATATCATCGTTAGTAACTTGAAGATTAAATTTATCTAATGATTATTGAATACCAATTAAGAAAGTTCTCAACTCAGCGTAGAATTAAATATTCTCACTTGAGCGTAATTATTACGAGCTTAGCTACGACCTACTTTAATTAATTAAATATAATTAATGATATGCTAATTTTTGCTATTTGCAATACAATGAACATTTTCACATTACATGAAACGGCGTTCCAGTAATTGCCTGCTGAAATGAGCTCTGTGTTATTCTTGATTCGCAGAGATGTACCAGGATATATGTGCCAAGTGCGCAGCGTTTCCGAACATTTACAACAATAAATAACTCTGAACGTACTATAAATTATAATTATTGCGTAAAGATAATGCTAATTATCTAGACATAATCTTCAGATTATCGGCACCGTTAATACGAACGTCTAATTCGGTATTATCGACTTACACGTGTACACGTGTAAAGTTATGTTAAGAACGGGGGTTGGGGATAAACAGTTTACTCAAATTTTGTTTAAAATTACATAGATAATAATAAATAATAATGATTAATAAAAAATCAATATCCGAAATTTAAAATGATTCTAAATTTTATTACATTTTTGATTTATATAAAATGAGTACATTTGCATTGTCGTTTGCAATATAAAATTAATTTTATCTAAGAATTAAACTTTTGAGATGATTCACATATTGTTTGGCATTTTTCGTATCATTTACTTGGATTTCTAGTATGTTGTCAAAAACTTTCCAAATGATAAAATTATAACGCCTATTGCGTATGCTCGTAGATATATCCGTTTTATATACTTTCCTTTTTAAATCATCTCTGATAATAAATTGATATAATAATTTAAATTGGTGCGGCAATTTATAAATTGCAAAAGAATATGTTTTTGTAAAAAATGAATTTGAAAATTTTCTTTTTTAATGAATTATTTTTATCGAAGTCTTAAAAATATGATCGAATAGATCACTCAAAACAAGGTAACTAAAAGATTTTACAAAAAACTAATACATTGAATCAAAAATCAGTTAAAAATATGCCAAAAATTAGTTCAATAAATTATTAACTTTCCGTAGAATAACTTACAGTAATCGCAAAAAAATTGAAAATGAAAATGTTTATGTATCTTCAGGTTTCAAAGGTTTTTGAACGTTTTGGCATATCTTAAAATTGAATTATGTCTATGTGTGTGTATGTATATATGTATGTGCGGATACAAACTTTCGTCGACGATTTCGGGAACAGCAATCAACTGATTTAAATATTTCAAAACCATTCGGGGGGCGTGCTGATTAGTTTTTGGCAAAGGCTTCAAAGATGTGCTAAAAGCGTGAATTCAGTTTTTGAGAGAAGGTAGCGTCCGATTTGAATGATTCAAAAAACACTTCATTTTTTGACAAAATAAAAACCTGATAAAATTTTTGAACCAAAGGTCTAGCTGTTTGACAGTCAAAATTAATCATTGGACATATGCACATCAAATTATTGGATATTTTATAGAGATTTTATTAATTAGTATAAATTATGCTTACATTTCTATGGGTTCCGTACCAATGTTTATCCGTTGGACCGCAACGCGGCGCTTACGAGCTTCAATTTTTTTTTCTAAAACAGCTACTCAACTAAATGTTGAATTAGGTGAATAGATTTTTAGGATAACATGATTAAAATTCAAACATACTTGTTTTGTGAGCATATTTGAAGTATCTATCGGGATAGAAGAAAAATGTAAAGAATTGATCTCTAACTCTTTCCACTCGCAAATTGCGAGATTTCTATCTATTTTGCCGCCAGAGCGGCTCATCCGAGTGAAA